GGAGACGCAATGATGGAAGAAGCTCGAGAAGCTCCAGGTGGAGATAATGTCACAATTAAGACAGTGATGGAATATATGGTCAATTTTCAGGAGCATATTGATTCCCTTGTGAGTGGAATGCGAGCCGATATTACATCATTGCGCGATAAAGTCTACATCTTGAGAGACGAATTACGTCAACGAAATCAAACGAGTTAGGTAATTAATTATTTATGTTTCTAAACATTTACGCGTTGTAAAATGTATTTTATTTTCTTTTAACAGATGTGGACAACCAAGCGGTCAATGAAGATGACGATGAAGATGAAGATAATGATGATGATGATGATGATGATGATTCAAACAAGTATATCGTGTCTACAACGCCGCCTACAAGAAAACTTGTAATTTTTTATGTCAATGATGTCCTTGCCTACTTCCCAAGACATCCAAAAGGTTTTAATTATATTATTTTGTATCCATTATTTTAACATATAAGCGTACAAAACTTTAATCTCATTTTTTTCATGTTGTAGATGTTATCATCAGAACATGATTATATGAATTTATGCATTTTTGTGTAGACAATTTTGTTGTTGCCATTTGGTCTTCCAAGATGAGGTTGGAACTATTGATCAATTGAATTACTATAGCCAAAATCGTTAATATACAATTAAATGTTAACATTCAAACTTGATTACAATCTCAGGCATAACATTGATCGTGTACTTGAGAAACTACCTTTGCTGTCTGACCATTTTCTATTCATTTGGGTAAGATGAATGCCATTACACTTTGCTGACTTTTATTTATCTATGATTCCTACATATTTATGTTCGACTATTTGTGAACATGATAATGCAAAGTGTAAAAAAGACGATAATGTTACCTATTGTAAAGATCTCAATGATGTTTGGAACGCGTTTTATGATTTTAACGACCTAAATATACTGTTGGTCGATGATTCAGCGGAAAAAATTATTTATAATCCGGTAAGTTACATTTATGCAATATGTTTTTCCAGTTAAATAGGTGTTCATACATTGATTGATTAACAATTTATATGTTTATATAGAAATACAATTACATATGTCCACATCCCTTCGACGTTGCTTCTCATTCGGACGACAATGCTCTAGGTATAACACAAATTTATTCATGCTTATGCGAATTTAGTTTCTTGTTAGTAAAATTGAACCTCATTAGTTTGATAATTGAAATTATTTATATATGTCCTCAGAAAAAGGCGGTAACATACGAGAGTATTTGGAAAATTTGTTGAATGCGCCTAATGTTCCGGTCTTCGTTAGAAATAACCCTTTTTTCATCGGATTAATTTCGTTGTGGGTACATTATTTGAACATTGTTATGTATAAATTTGTTATGTATATATGTTTTGGTTTGATTATATTGTGTGTATATTTTCATTCGATTCAAAAATACTATAACATATAACACAATAACTGTGTATTTTAATATTCCACAGTATACCATGTGACTTATATGGTAAATATTCCATTCGGATGGGCTATGAATAACAAAACAATCTATCTATTTCTTCCATGTGAGTACTTTATTCCCATGTGACAAGTGTGACAACCCCATCAACTCACAACTCAACTTTGAACTGAATCAATATTGTCTTTTACCCGCTTGATGGTTCATAACGCATGTTACTTGAACAATATGAATCAATTATGCAATTTCCATGTTCAATTTAACACTGCATTTCAAGTTCATTTCATATGTAATTGGAGTTTGAATTTAAATTTCAATATAAATTTTAGCTCCACTATAAATATTAGCCCGAGCCTTTGTTCCATCCAAACAACAACTTACTCAATGGAAGCATCGGGAGTGTTTCAAATTTCATTTCTAAGGTAACAACTTACCTTTTTCAAAACTTATTAACTTAGAAAATATGCATGTTATCATTGATTATTCTTAATTTCCATTGTTTTTTTCCAACTTTAAACACGAGGGAAATAATGACCATCGTAATTTTTGGTTAACAAGCAGGAAGATTGGATATCCGAAGAATGCCTTCCGGATACTATCTATTTCAGCCAGCTCACTGAGGTAGGTTAACCCTAAATCGAAACTGTATTAGCCAAACATACTTGATGTAGAAGCAGCTGCAGATTTAAAATCTCAATGGTGATGCATTTGGTTCTCAAACAGTTAAAGCGTCAGAAACGTTTCGGACGTATGATCTGGGTGGTATACGGGAAATGCAACAAATGAAAATTAAAAATCTCGATAATTGAGGGCTACAACTTGTAATAATAACAAAAATAATTGAAGGGTACATTTGTATAAACTATCAATACTTTTCTAAATTAATAATGTAAAAGGTAAAATTCTACCTGTGCAATGATAATAGGCGTACATGACAAGCATCTTAACTTGTCATTTACGACTATTTTCATTATACCGGAGAACTTTTATCCGTTTACATTGTTAATTGTAATGGGGTTTATGCTTTACGTGTGTATCTTCCATTATTTAACATTATTATTAAAAGATCTAGCGTTTAATTCTCGAGAATTTTTGGATGCATTTTGTTGCATTACCCGTGTAGCACCCAAATCATAAGTCTGAAATACTTCTGATGCTTTAAATGTTTGAGAACCAAATGGATCACCTTCGAGATTTTAAATATGCAGCTGCTTCTACATTAGGTATGTTTCTCTCAGACGGTTTCGGTTTACGGTTATCCTATCTTCGTGAGCTGGTTGAAATGGATAGTATTCGGAAGGCATTCTTCGCCTTTCCAGTCTTCCTGCTTGTTACTAAAAATTATGATGGTCGGGATTTCCCTCACGTTTCATTTAGGTTGTTTGCTCCGAATATATAATGACATTTTATATCTGAATCGTTGTTGGTTGATTGGTCGGGCTTTTATATCCATATTTGCTTCTTTGTATACCGAGACATTTGAGGATTGTTGAAATATCAATACTAGTTATTAATGTATTTTATATCTGCGTGCAAATGTATCGAAACAAATTATTAAAGAATCATTTTCAGTAATCTCCAGAATAAATGCCAAACCGAGGTGCACTAATAAAGTGTCGATACATTTATTAAAAGTATCGATCCCAAAAACATCGAATAAGATAATTATAATGTAATAGGTAAATTTTCAATGTAACTGGTAGATATATACCGGTTAATTAGAAAATAGGTCTACATAATATATCGACACTTTTTAAATTGTGTCGATACTTTTTGTCCAGAATGAATGACCAACCGAGGTGCACGAATAAAGTGTCGATACATTTATAAAAAGTATCGATCCCAAAAATATCGAATAAGATAATTAAAATATAATACGTAATTTTTCAAAGTAACCGGTAGAAATATATCGGTTAATTAGAAAATAGGTCTACATAATGTTTCGACACTTTTTAAATTTGTGTCGATACATTTTGACCAGAATGAATTTCCAACAAGGTGCATGAATAAAGTGTCGATACATTTATAAAACGTATTGATCCCAAAAACATCGAAATCAATAAATATAATGTAATAGGTAAATTTTCAATGTAACATGTAGAAATATACCGATTTTATGAAAGAATAGATCTACATCATGTATCGACACTTGTGGAATTTGTGTCGATACTTTTTGTCCAGAATGAATGCCTAAAAGAGTGCACGCATAAAGTGTCGATACATTTATAAAAAGTATCGATCCCAAAAACATCGAAACTGATAATTATAATGTAATAAGTAACTTTACAATGTAACCTATAGAAATAAACCGACTTTATGAGAGAATAGGTCTACATCATGTATCGACACTTGTGGAATTTGTGTCGATACTTTTTGTCCAGAATGAATGCCTAAATGAGTGCACGCATAAAGTGTCGATACATTTATAAAAAGTATCGATCCCAAAAACATCGAAACCGATAATTATAATGTATTAGATAACTTTACAATGTAACCGGTAGAAATATATCGGTTAATTAGAAAATAGGTCTACATAAAGTATCGATACTTTTTAAAGTTGTGTCGATACTTTTTGACCAGAATGAATGCCCAACGAGGTGCACGCATAAAGTGTCGATATATTTAAAATTGTATAGATCCCAAAAAAATCGAAACCGATAATTATAATGTAATAGGTAACTTTTCAATGTAACCGGTAGAAATATACCAGTTAATTAGAAAATAGGTCTATATAATGTATCGACACTTTTTAAAGTTGTGTCGATACTTTTTTTTTTAAATTAAGCGTGTTTTTTCCTTCATTATTTATATGTAACACTTTAAACCCCAAATCGACAAACCCTAAGGGCAAAAGAGAACTCTTCTACTCTGACGAATACCAATATTCATAACAGTTATGATCAGTTCTTCATGTAAATTTATCGATATTATGGTATTCAAATTAGTTTTTCATTGATTTCCAGATTGGATACTTTTTTCCCTTCATGTGTTCGATAGGTATATTATCGAAACCCTAATTGTTTTAGAATATTAGTCTTCGGAAAGAGGGGTTAGGTTTTAAAGTTTGCTATTTTTGAATGGTTATAGGTTGAAAGTTCAATTTTTGTTCGCGAAGATGATGACCTTCAAATGGAGCCCCAACGTATCAATATTGAAGAAAATCAAAAGCGACCAGTAAGTATCAATGTATTCATGTAATTGTTCTTGAAATGGTAATTGGGTTAAAGTATTTAATCCAATTTAATTGATTCAAATCTCTACAGTCTGATTGAATGCAAAAGGATAAATGAAGCTCATAATCATGTTGATTGTATAGCCAATAAAACCTGGGGGTCCAAATGGTAATCTAGGAATTGGTAAGACAAGCTTTCTTTGAGGGTTTAGGGTTTAGAGCCCTCTAACTTAAAGAGTGCATGATTGAACATTACGTATAATAGTTGTATTCAGTTGTTGAAGAATTGTTCTTAATTTTATATAAGGATAATTGTAATGATATACGTTCATGTTTCGGGACTAATTAGTTAGATGCATGCAGTACCCTATATCCTCGAGGTAGAGCACAAGAAATCTGACACTAAAAGATTTACCAAGAGCGGTAGCTTTTGCTCTGCATGAAGATCGAACCTAGATTCAACTTTGTAATTATGCCTATACTACTGAAGAAAACCCGCTGAATGATAGGATTTGCACACAACTGCAAGCATTTTAAACCCTAAACCCAACTACTCACATGGAAAATTATGCAATCCATATGAGTAGTTGGGTTTAGGGTTTAAAATGCTTGCAGTTGTGTGCAAATCCTATAATTCAGCAGGTTCTCTTCAGCATGATATGTATAATTGCAAAGTTGATTCTAGGTTCGGTCTTCATTCAGAGCAAAAGCTACCGCTCTTGGTAAATCTTTAAGTGCCAGATTTCTTGTGCTCTGCCTCGGGGATATAGGGTATTGCATGCATCTAACTAATTGCTCCAGAAACGTGAACGTATATCATTACAACTATCCTTATATAAAATTAAGAACAATTGTTTAACAATTGAATACAACTATTATACGTAATGTTCAATCATGCACTCCTTACGTTGGAGGGCTCTAAACCATAAACCCTTAAAGGAAGCTTACCTTACCAATTCCTAGCTTACCATTTGGACCCCCAGGTTTTATTGGCTATGCAATCAACATGATTAACCTGGATAATCCCAGTTACAGAACTGATTCTAGCAATGATTGCGGGAGACTCTGGTCTACAGATTGTTTGGCATTTATATGATGATGCGGATAGAATATTAAACGGTCTCGTAAGCCACAATCAAAATAGACTAAGAGAGGAAATTTTGTTAATGTAGGGGAAATTTTGTATACGATTCATAATTTTGTATACGATTTATAATTTTATATGTGAATGTAATTATGTATGAGATGAGAAAAGTTAGCAATAGGTTGTTGTACATGTTTCTTATACACAATAGGAGTCATATTGATACTTACGATATATGGAGATCGTTGTCATCACGTGCGGGACTGAATGACCATTACATTCCATCTTCGAAAAAATCAATTGATGTAGGATGTGTGCTTGTATTCAAACTGAGCTTGACTTGAGGACATGTTAGTTTGTTATGTCCCTCACCGTTACAGAACCCACTTCGCCTAATTTTCTTCTCAACCTTGTTCTTCGGTACTTCTTTTCGCTTGCGTTGTTTTCGTTGAGGGTCGCGAACGTTATTTACTACACTGCTCTGGTTGACTGAATCATTCAAACCAAACGAGTTTTTAAATTCTTCTGTTAGTCATTTCATCTCATCTCTTGCGGTTTTGAAAGACGCATCTGTCTTTGATGCGATGTAGCATAACCTACTTGACGTTGCACGTAGACCAGTGAACCTTGCCATTTGCATTACTTCTGGAGGCACATTCAAGTCAACAAAACTGGTTGTAGAAGCCTTCGCATCCTTAGTCCACCTACTTTGAATCAAAGTCCCAGGCAAATATATGTAATCCAAGTGCTTCAAAATGTGAAGTTGATGGTGACACGGAAGTTCGATGGTCTCGAATTTTCTGCATGAGTAATTTAGGATTTCCATACGAGAATCAAAACTAATTTCAAATGTCCAATTTTTTTCTTTGTACTTTGTCAAAATATAATTTTGACATTCATATGATAAGGACTGAATCTCTTCCTGAATCTGGTACAATGTCTCCCGTTGAAGTTCATCTTGGAATGCACGAAAAGATTCGCATGTATAAATCTCAGCAGCATGGCTTTCAAGGTCGACCAGTTTTGTGATCTGGAAGGGCTTCGTCTGGGAACTTAAGTAATCCGTTTTCAACTCGTTCATACGCATTATACTAATTCCATCTTCAATTGCACGAACAACATCTAAATATGCCTTTTTGTGTTTCAGTGCAATCGCGAGTGAAGCATTCATAGACTCGCACCTTTGTGTTGAGCGAATATTGGCAAATAAATGACCGGTTAGATATGCTTATGCCCATAAGTGCCGAGTATTTCCCTTCTCAATCACCCATGGATGCTTTTCGACGTTGAATTCTGAAACAACCGAACGCCATTGAATATCAAATTCCTCGGTTGTCCACCAGGAAACTATACATTTTGAGAATGCTGCTATAAATTTTTGGTCACCAATATTAGCTTGTGCATTCCGAGACAGATGCCAAAAACATAATCTGTGCTTAGCATAAGGGATAACAGATTTAATAGCCCTTTGCATTGTTCTATCCCTATCGGTGACAACTAAAATAGGTGATTTATTCATCATGACTTTTAAAAAATTCTGTAGCACCCACTCGAAAGATTGGGACGTCTCATCAGCGATTATGGCGGTGGCAAACACAATTGTGTTATGGAGATGATTGACACCGACAATAGGCATAATTGGTCGACCATACAAATTATCTTTGTACGTTGTGTCGAACACAATTACATCACCAAAGTATGTATAATCTGATCTCGATGTAGAATCCGACCAAATAAGATTATGTAATGCCCCTGATTCATCTACCGAGTATTTCATAAAAAACCTGGGATCATCATGTTTGTTATAATCAAAGTAAGCAATAAGCGCATTCACATCCCCATCGACGATTTCCTTTGATTTACCTCTTTGAAGTGCATTGTAGAGGTCTTTATGTGTAAATCCAACATTATAATAACCCTCTGTCTGCCACATTAAATAGTTCATTACTTGTGACGTGCCAACACCGACCTCTTTCAATGTTGTTGCCACATCAATATCAACCTTACTTACAACTCTATTAGAACACATAAATGGTGTCATAGCAGGCGTGCACAATGCATGATTATATTTCTGATAAGACTTACTTATAACCAGTGATCATTTGTATTAATTGTTGTAATTACGACTCTAGCCTTGCATCCTGTTCTTGTGACTGGCGTATGAGCACGTTGACGATCAACAATATTAACTTTTGATACTCAAAACCCTTCTTTGGAACAACAAAATTCTTGTGTCTTCACATTCCCTTCCATGCCAAGCCGTGTTGTTCCCTTACGTGCACTAAACCCATGTTCTCGTGCGAATCCCTTGTAAAAGTACCAAGCTTGATCACGTGAAGAGAAGAGCTGACCAACCAATCTGTCAAATTCATCAACATTATGTACTTCATGGCATTCCTCGGTTGGCTTAACATTGTCTGCATCAGTATGATCTATGGCAAAAAAATAATTTGTGCAAGTTCAGTGGTCCCAGAGTTGATGGAGATGTAAGTAAAGGTTCATTGAACAACATGTTTCAGTCGTACTTTCAATAAGATATGGTATTGGTAGTTAAAGGGTGGGTACAACATTAAATTTGCATGACATATTTAGATATGTACAATAACTACCTAAATATATGTCGATACATTTTCTAAAAGTATCGACCCCAAAAACATCGAAATCAATAATTATAATGTAATAGGTAAACTAACAATGTAACCGGTATAAATATACCGGTTAATTAGAAAACAAGTCAACATAATGTATCGACACTTGTAGAATTTGTGTTAATACTTATTGTCCAGAAAAAATAACCAAACGAGGTGCACACATAAAGTGTCGATACATTTATTAAAAATATCGATCCCAAAAACATCGAAACTGATAATTATAATGTAATAGGTAAATTTACAATGTAATCAGTATAAATATACCTGTTTTATGAGAAAATATATTAACATAATATATCGACACTTTTTAAATTTGTGTTGATATATTTTGTCCAGAATAAATGTCAAATGGGGTGCACGTATAAAGTGTCGATACATTTATTAAAAGTATCGATCCTAAAAACATCTAAACCGATAATTACAATGTAATAGGTAAATTTACAATGTACCCGATAGAAATATATCGGTTTTATGAGAAAATAGGTCTACATAATATATCAACACTTTTTAAGTTTGTGTCGATACTTTTTTTCCAGAAGGAATGCCCAACGAGGTGCACTCATAAAGTGTCGATACATTTAAAATTATATCGATCCTAAAAACATCGAAACCGATAATTTTAATGTAATATGTAAATTTGTAATGTTATCGGTATAAATATACCGATTTAGTTAGAAAATAGGTCAATATAAGCGTTACCTAATATGTTATTGAACTTAATAATATTTTCGATTAAATGATATAATATAACCAATCTAAATTTTAACCGATCACTTATTTATTCGGTCACGCCATTTTTTTAGGCCCCCGACAGCAGAAGATAAATCAGTGTACTGAAGATCTCAATTTCTTGTGTTGATTTTGCCTCCTATTTTGGATGCATCTCTCTCCGATTCATTCTCGCAAGTCGAAATCGCACAATTCCTTCCATTTGCCAAGGTAGGGTTCTCCACCCTCATCGTTGGGAGGTCTAATACTTTAGGGTTTACGACATGTTAGGGATTGAATCAATTTGCGGGGGTTTAGCTGAGTTTTTTCATAACATTTTCATTATGTGGGTCAAGGATAAGGGTATTTAATATCTGATTCAATGTTTTGAAGATGAGTTCCTTTTCGATCACTCGCAAGAAAACGCCTTTCCAGAAGCACAGAGAAGAGGAGGAAGCCAAGAAGAAGGTTCATCCATTTCTCTCACCTACAATGGTCAAACCACCAATTGATTTGGTTCCAGCTTGCCGATTTGGTTTTATTTGATACTTTGAGCTAAAATGTTTTACTTTAACTTTTTGGTGCACCCCCTCTTCCTTTCCCATTATCAGAGGGAGGAAGATGAAACTGCTCGATTATATGAGGAGTTCGTGGCTTCGTTTCAAGGTGAAAATGCGCCAGGGTCGAAGGCATTTGTTCGGGGTGGAACAATCAATCCCAATGAGAAATTCAAGCCCAATTCTGAAGGTTAGTCTGAATCAGGAACTCACTCGATATTTGTTTTGGCAGAATATTTAATATATTTGCCTCGGTTTTAAGTGTCAGAAATTTTTGAGCAAGTAGAGTGATTTTTGTATTATATCATGAGGACGCATTAATAAAAATATGGGCCTTGTTTATTCATTTGCGGATGACAGGTGAAAAGTCGAAAGATGGGGTATCTGTTCCAAAGAAGGGAAGTAGGTAAATTATTGCTTTTGATTAACCATGTTGCAATACTAATATTCATTTGGCGAGGTGTCTTAAAGTGAAAAGTTACACGGTGATGATAGTGATATTCTCACTCCACCCATGTATTTTTAAAGGCTTCTATAATTTCATGAAAAGATTTCCATATAGCAGTTAATTTCACTTGCATGTCATTAAATTTGAAAATATATAATCAGTTTGACTCCTTTTCTACTTTAGAAAGAGAAATACTTGTTGTTTATCGTCTTCTGAAATAAAATTCATTTCCCACTCCATTGTGGAATTATTACCTTTTTAGTTTATTTATAAGTTCTAATCTGCATATGAAATGAAAACTGTTTGGGAAGTTAATGATACATTGATGTTGGCCGCCTCTGGCACATTGAAGAGGAAACTGTATGAGTTCCACTTCCAGTTGATAGAAAGGCAATGTAGTAATTGAAGTTGTCTAGGAAAAGTGTTAAGAATATGATTCATTTGAATTCTTAAAGATCAATTGAAGTTAATGGTTATTCTGCAATTTTGGCTATTTTATCTTTTTCAATTGTCATCATATTATATTCCTTCATGTCATGAAGTCAGTAGCCGTAGTGTTGTTCTTATGCTGTATGGCTTGAAAGGTACAAAATATAGAAATTTGGATCAAATTTCCAGTGAAAGTAGTCATTCTGCTATATGGAAAATAAATGGATAGTGTCCTTGACCTAATGACCTTAGATTAGGAGGTTCCTCAACTCAGTTAAGTTCCATCACAAACAAGTTGGGGTTATTTGCCTGAATGATTTTCTTGTGGATTTATAAGCTGGTTAGATAACCTCGTCGCATTTAGTTTTGACTTTTGAAGGATTTTAGCATGCTGCGCCTTTCTTTTTTCTTTTAAATATGTAAATGCCACTGAAGCATTTTCTTCTGTTAACGATAATTGAGAAACTGCACTTTCTAGGATTTTGTAGTTATTCCAAATCGTGCGGTTTAGAGTGCATATTAGAAAATTTGAAATCATGAGTAACAACAGTACATAGGACAAAGATCCCCTCTGTTGTGATCTGATTTGGATTACCTAAATTCCCATCTGTCCTTTAAAGAAAGTCCTGTTTGCTACCAAATTCTTTAAAATGCTTTCAATTGATGTTTGCAGGAATCTGTTCCAGCATGATTGCATGCTAACAACAAAATTTTGGCTGAAAATGAATCCACTAATGAATTCTAGGAACAGTTTTAGTGTCACATAAAACGTTTTAATGATGGTTATCCTATAGTCTCCTTTAAAGTTCTTTGATGAGGAAATTAATGAATGGGTGGAACTGTGAAAAGAAATTTTTCTGGAAAATGGAAGTTTATCTTTTGTTGTATATATGCAGGTATGTTCCATCTTTCATACCACCTCCTTTGGCAGCCAAGGGAAAGGAAATTGAGAAGAAGGTAATTCTGTTAGTGAAATTATGGCATACACTTGTATCTATATCATTCTCAACTGAGTTTTCTCACGTGATATTCACATTTTGTTCAAACTTTGACAATGATGTTTCTAGAAGGAGGAGGAGAGGCCAAAAGAGAAAGAGAAGGGAAAGTCTCGGAACATTGATCATTTTATGGAGGAATTGAAGCATGAACAAGAAATGAGGGAGAGGAGAAATCAAGAGCGAGAACATTGGCCTGACGGGTATCATAGTGACAATGCAGTAAGTCCTTCAGTTGGATTGAAATTTTCTTCCCTAGTAGTGGCTAATTTTATCCATACTTCAACTTTCTTCCCTTTTCTTCTTTCACTTAGATGTATGAGGATGGTTTATGCGTCACCTGAATATTTTTCAGTCCTCATATAGCATATCTGTATTCTGTACAACATGCTATATTTTTTCTGCTGCTTTTGTCAGTAAGATATACGAATCTTATCTTTTGGTTGTTACTTTCCCAGCCATCGAGTCGCTTTGATGAACTGCCTGATGATTTCGATCCTAGTGGAAAACTGCCTGGATCATTTGATGATGGTGATCCTCAAACAACAAATCTTTATGTTGGAAATCTCTCACCAAAGGCATGTTATTGTTGTTTTCTAATTGCTGTTTTTAATCTTACTTCCCCTTTTTTTCTCAGTAAGTTCTAATTTTTTCTATGTTCTTGTTAATTTAGGTGGATGAAAATTTTCTTCTTCGGACTTTTGGAAGATTTGGGCCTATTGCTAGTGTGAAGATAATGTGGCCTAGGACAGAGGAAGAGCGAAGGCGGCAAAGAAATTGTGGTTTTGTAGCTTTCATGAATAGAGCTGATGGACAAGCTGCAAAGGATGAAATGCAAGGTATTCCCTATAGCCTTTTTGTAGATGTGGTGTGTCATTAATCTTCTGAGAGAGTGCATTATCATGTCCTTGATTCTTGAGCTCTCTTTTTTTCTCTTAATTAGATGCTTGATAATGGTAATGTGGTAGGACCGGGAAGGACATAGTTAAGAATGTGGATATACATCTCCAGGTTGGGATGTCTCCTATAGTGGATAAGGTGAAAGGAAATCAATCTGGTGGTTTTGCTACATAAGATGCAAATTGAGTGTCGCATATTTAAGCACATTGGATAGGGTAAAAAGGTTCAAGGGACTACGGAGATCACAACAAACATGATTGGAGCTGATAAATGATGATATGAAACTGTTAGTTCTTGAAGAAAAAATGGCTGTGGATAGGAATGTCTGGAGGAGAAGGATTTGTGTGTTTAATGTACATGTATCTGTTTTTAGTCTTATGGCTGACTTCGAATATATTGGGATTAAGGCTTGTTGGTTTGGTTATCTGTACTGTTATGCAGTTACATCTTGAAGATTGAAGGAAATAAATTTTTAGTTAACTTGATATGATTTTTTTCTACTATTAAACTGTGCTATATGATGCATTTCTAAATTGTGACTCTAATTTCTTAAGCTCTGTAAATGCTGCTAAAATGTCCCTTGTTTTTTAATCGTTTGATGATTTTATTGATAATTTATGATTGATTTGTACCTAACAGTTGCGATAATTAGCTGTTCTTTTGACTGAAATATGATGTCAACATATGTGCTGTTGGCAGGAGTTGTTGTATATGAATATGAGTTGAAAATTGGATGGGGTAAATCTGTTTCTCTTCCATCACAAGCATTACCTGCTCCCCCACCTGGACACATGGCTATCCGGAGTAAGGAGGTTGGTTATGTTCGTGCAAAAGAGTTCTTAGCTATCGATTAAAAGGCATATATGTTTTTGTATAATCGATGCTTGTCATACACAATTCTTTCCTGAAGCTAATATCTAATAATATAGCTTTGATTTAAGTAGGTAGTTGACAAAACCCAGTCTGGTGTTTTTCTATGCTATCTAAAATCTATTTTCTGATTGGCAGGGTAGTTCTGTAATCTTATCTGGTCCTTCGGGCCCACCAGTCACATCTGTTCCAAATCAGAACTCTGAACTGGTAATTTAAGTATTTAACTGAGTTATCTTGTCATTTTATTTCTTTAAGAAAATGGTAATTTGATATATCTTCCAGTCTGAGGTAATTCTTATTTGATATATCTTCTTGCCTAGGTTCTTACTCCAAATGTTCCAGATATAATGGTTATTCCCCCTGATGATGACCATCTTCGCCATGTGATCGATACAATGGCTCTTTATGTTCTTGATGGTGGATGTGCCTTTGAACAAGCTGTTATGAAGAGGGGTCGTGGCAATCCTCTATTCAGTTTTTTATTTGAGCTTGGCTCAAAGGAACATACTTACTATGTCTGGAGACTATATTCCTTCGCTCAGGTCCATTGTGTTAGCTATTCAAATGCATCTTCTAGTTTTGTCCCTGGTGTTATTTTGTAACTTAACATGACATGCTTGGGATGTGTAAAGAATGAATAATTATTGAAGAACTTCAGTGATTGTGGAAATGCAGGGTGATACTCTTCAAAGGTGGCGAACAGAGCCTTTTATCATGATAACTGGTAGTGGAAGGTAATTATGCGTCAACAATTTTCTGTTAATTACGTTCCTTTCACAAGTTGTGTTAGACAGTAGTATTATCAATGCATAATTTTTGGTTCCTGTTATTTATTTTCTAGATGGTTACCACCTCCTCTGCCAATTACAAAAAGTCAGGAGCATGAAAAGGAGTCCACTGCCACATATGCTGCAGGAAGAAGCAGGGTATTCCAAAGATGAACTTGTTTTGTTTCCAATTATAATTCTTTTTTTTTATTTCAGTGAGTGGATAGTCGTATATTATATTTATTATTACAGCGGCTGGAGCCAGAACGAACACTTACTGATCCTCAAAGAGATGAATTTGAAGACATGCTACGGGCCTTGACATTGGAGAGGAGTCAGATTAAAGAAGCTATGGGCTTTTCATTGGATAATGCTGATGCTGCTGGAGAGGTATTCCATATATCTACAGTATGCCTGCCTTCATTTCATGCTCTTTAAGTTTTGTCTTCTATTCTTCGAACTCTAATGGTTCCTGGCTGGGTCTGTCTTTAGGGTTTCCCTTTAATTTTTCTGATTGTTCTCTTAAATGTTGAAAAAAAGGAGATTTGTGGAAACAAAAGCAAATTTACTAGCGACAAGAACAGCATTCCAGATCTAATATTCATGTGATTCATTATTTGCAAAATCCTGTATATCCTTAGTTTCATTCCACATTTTGAACCTTAAACAATATCTTGAGAAGTTAAATTTGATACATGTCCACCCCTCCTTGTTTCCCCTGCAGATAGTTGAAGTTTTGACAGAGTCCTTGACACTTAAAGAGACCCCAATTCCAACTAAAGTTGCAAGGCTTATGCTCGTCTCTGACATTCTTCATAACAGCAGCGCTACTGTTAAAAATGCATCTGCATACCGTACCAAATTTGAAGCAACATTGCCTGATATAATGGAGAGCTTTAATGATTTATACCGCAGTGTGACAGGAAGGATCACGGCTGAGGCCCTTAAGGTAGGTATAATGTTGACCTTTTATGCTGCTTCCAGTATGCTTTATATTATGTTCGTTATGCTGAGAGACCTGCAAAATGAACTGGCTTGTGGCCTTGTGCTTGTATTAATCTGTGGTTCTTGGATTTTTTTTGTCTTTTCTTGGTTTCTGCAGGAAAGGGTTCTGAAAGTGTTGCAAGTATGGTCAGACTGGTTTCTTTTTTCAGATGCATATGTTAATGGACTGCGAGCTACCTTTCTTCGATCGGGAAACTCTGGTGTGGCCCCATTCCATTCCATATGTGGTAATGCACCAGAAATTGAAAAGAAAATTAATTCAGAAGATGCAGTTGATGGGATTAAGGCCAATCAAGATGCTGCTTTGGCAATGGGAAAAGGTGAAGCTATGAGGGAGTTGATGGATCTCCCACTTGCTGAGCTTGAAAGACGTTGTAGACATAATGGGCTGTCTCTTGTTGGTGGTAGAGAAATAATGGTTGCACGACTCATAAGTTTGGAAGATGCAGAAAAACAAAGGAATTATGAACTAGATGATGAGTTGAAGCTCCGATCTAGTTCTAGTAGGCATCTTAGTGGTCATAGAGATGCAAATGCTGAACCAGAGTCTTTGGGGTTGTCTGAATGGACTCGTTATAGAGAGGACGAGATCCATTCAGAACGAAAAGTGTCTGTACCTCTGGCTGAAACCTTTCCAGTCCCACATCCTGAACTAAAAGCATTCACAAAGAAAGATAAAATTGATCCTGTTTTGCCAGCCTCTAAATGGGCTAGAGAGGATCATGACAGCGATGACGAAGAAAATAGAAGCACTCGGTTGTCTTCTGGAAGTGAGAATGCTGGTGATGACCCTAGTAAAGCTGATGAATTGGAATTTGGAACTCGTGTGAATACTCCAGCTTCATCAGAAAGTGCAATCAATGAAGAGCAGAGGTACGATGAATTCTCATTTCTTAAGGCCACACAGACACCAAAACCGAAATGTTATCAACTCTATGCAGTATCACTTGCTCATGTAGTCAATACTTCATTAATGTTTCACAATGTTCTTAATACCACAGGCAAAAGTTGAGACGCCTAGAGGTTGCTTTGATAGAATATCGAGAATCTCTTGAGGAGTGGGGAATTAAAAATGCTGAAGATATTGAGAGAAGGGTTACTGTTCACCGAAAACGGCTAGAATCTGAATATGGTTTATCAGATTCCGGTGATGGTAAATTTGCAAGAAGTAAGTTGTTTATCCATTTGACAAGATATTTCGAAGGGTCTATAGTAGTTAATGTACTTCCCAAAGTTGAAGGCATACCCTAATACTAGTTTATGCATTATTGAAATTGCAGATAGGAGAGATGGGCGGGATGGTGCACTTGACTCTGCAAGAAAGCGGCATCACAGTGAAAGCCGAAGTGAGAGCCCTCCTTTGAAATCATCAGACAGAAAGAGGGATAGTGAAAACAGTTCAGAAAAGGAGCAAGAAAGGCACAGGGACAGGGGTAGGGATAGGGATAGAGGTAGAAGTCATGATCCGGAAAGTGAAAGGGGGAGAGACAGGGAGCGAGCTTATCTTGACAAAAGTGGAAGCAGGGAAAGGGATGAGCATGGCAGGGATAGAGGCAGAGAGAGGGATAGGAGAAGGCGAATAAATTGACATGTTTTAAGTTTGTGGCATCAATTGTTTAGTGGTCAGTCTTTTTGTGGGTTGTGATCTGATCTGGTATGAGTAGGATGAGTCTGAGACCTGTGGATGACTTGTTTTGTGTTGGAGACTGCACTGTACTCCACTCCGTATCTCAGAAGTTGGTTCCAAACAATGGTGAGATGCACAAGTTCCATATGTCTGTTGGCTGACAACAAACCCCATTACATGAAACCTGGCTCTGCTTGAACCCGTAATTTGTTTTTGAAAAGATTTCTTTGCTTTTTGAAATGTCATGGCTCACTTTGGTTATTTGATTTTGCATTTTGCAAAAACAAGTTGATTGTTGGCGACAAATATTTTCAGTCTTTAGTCCCTCATCCAGTAGAGTTGGTCCCCCATTGTCTTGTCTTGGTCATCTCATCACCCGGATCAGTTTCAATGTATTATTATATTAAATTTCATGAAGAAATATGAAATATCCGATGGAAACTTGTAAATAATATAATGCAGGGATTCCCTTAATGATTTGAGGACAATATTCTAGGTTTACTACGCATGTGCACCTACACATTTTGTGAGGTTGGAGTTTTCCTCTCCAAAGAAATGGGGAGTTCTGTGGTACCGCAGGTTAGCATGCAGTTAAAATATCGTGAATTCTAAAATATTATGAAAAATGTAATATTTTAGGTTGACCGTAATATAAAATGTGACAACCTAAAATGTGACATTCTTCATAACATTTTAGGTTGAAATTCAAAATGTTATTTTATAATATTTGAAATTGTTAACTTCTTTGTAATATTTTATATTCTTAAAGTGCATAAAAAATATTAGAAAGAATGTCGCGTCAAAAAAACTACATGACTGAGCTTTACATGGTAAGATAAGCGCTTAGTGGATGGAGTGGCAATTTTATTAAATAATATTTACACATATGCAGGTAAATGAACCAGACGAATGAGAAGATGTTGATGTTTTTATCTTTCACTTTAATTAAACAAACGAAAGAACATGAAATAAACAACCGTAATTTTTTGTTTGTGTTCGTTAATTAAGAAATTTAGTTTGTTCGAGTTTGTTCATATTCGTTCATTAAGATGATAAATGAACAAGAACGAACGTAAACGAACATAAATGAATAAACAAATGTAATCGAACATAAACGAATGAACATAAAATTAATTGTGTTTATACTTGAGAAGAATTTTTTTTTCCAAATAATTTTAGGATATATATTTTATTTAATTGATTTGAGTAATTTTTTTATTTGGATTTAAAATTAAATAGGTTTTAAAATATTAATAGATTTAATGTTAAAATTTATTATGTCTTAATATTTCAAATGAATCTCTAGATTGGGTTGAATATAAACAAACTTAAACGAACATAAACTAACGGATTATCGAATGTTCACGAACGTAAATGAACGAGAAAACCCTTTGTTCATGTTCATTCATTTAACTAAACGAACATAAATTCTTGTTCATATTCATTCGTTTAATAAATAAACTTCCCGTCGAACTATTTACGAACGATTCATTGAACGTTCGGTTCATTTATAGGCATATTTACAGGTGAAGTGACTGAGGAAGCATGTGCAAATAAATCTACGAGTTTGTTTATTTGAAATGTAAAATTCTATAACGCTCGACGAGTGTCGATGAACATCTCTAACAATGAGCATCATTAATTTAATTTATAAAAAAATGAAATTATAAAGGGTTCAACGTATAATTATAAATTAGTTGAAAATTTAAAAGTAAATTATTTAAAATAAAAGATAAACTATACCAATGACCACCTAACTATTGCCCTTTTTTATTTTGACCATCATTTTTTTGAAATTTTGTCAATCATGTCAATCAACTATTTAAATGCATTCAGTTAAGCTACTTGTCGTTAATATTTAACGAAAAAGTTGATGTGACAGTTAAAATATTTGATATTATTACACATTTGGTCCATGTTACTTATATATTCTATCGATTTGGTCCTAATTTTAATAAATTAAAATAAATTTAACCCTCAAATCAAATCCAAAATAGTATTTATTCATCTTATTCTTTCAATTTGTAGGAAAACAAACAAGAAAATAAAATAAAACTTACAAAAAAATTGATTTCATTTTTGAAGAATTAAAAGAAATACCAAACGCTTTGATTTCAAAAATACATCTGTATAAGTAAAATCAAAATTTAAACTATTAAAAATTAATCCAAAACAATTAAATTTTACTTATAATGCGACAAATTAGGTAAAAGTAAGGTTATAGTACTTGGATAACTGAGTAATAAAAAATAAATATTTTTAAACAACTGGTCTAAAAGTAATTACAATGGAAAATACAGGTATTCTGAAGCCGACAATGGTTTAAGCATGTAAGCTTGTATGGTTACGGGAAGCTGAAACCTTGTAATTCATAGAAAATCTCAGCCATTAAAAGATTACCTAAAGAGACTGTCATTTATCAAGAAGTTGGTTATGGGTACTGGCGGGTTTCAGGAAAGAAAGAAGTCAAGGTCCTGTTAAACTGAAGGACATGGTATTGAGATTGTTAACTGGAGTGAGCTGGTCAAATGGTATGTTCCTAAGACAAAACTGAGTTCCATCGAGATCAAAGGAGATGATGTTCATTCGAAGAAGAAAGTGCATTAAATTGCATAATTGCATACATTTTAGGAATGAGTAAGATCATGGCATTCATAATTGCATGATGAATTAAATATTTATAGGTTTCCCAGGGATAGTTGAAGATTTGAAGATATGGAACGTCAAGATGAGGATAACTAGTTTTGAAATCTTAAAAAGAATGATGTCTAGACAACAATTGAGTTGAAGTTTGACCTTCGAAACAAGTCAATCTTAAGCCTTCATGAAAGAGCAGTGAAACAATTCAACCTTAAGCCTTCACGGAAGAGTAATGAAGCAAATCACCTATAAGCCTTCATGGAAGAGTAGTGAAACAGACATGTTTATTGAAGATTGTTCGAGTCCTATACTCTCTGAAGGAATAGGGAGCAGACTCGTTTTGTTGAAGATTGTTCGAGTTCTATACTCCCTGAACGAATAAGGTGCGGACCCATTTTACCGAAGATTATTCGAGCTCTATAATCCCTGAATAAATAGGAAGCAGACCCGTTTTTGCCAAAGATTGTTCAAGTTCTATACTCTCTGAACAAATAGAGAGCGGACCCGTTTTGCCGAAGATTGTTTGAGTTCTATACTCCCTGAACGAGTAGGAAGCGGACCCGTTTTGCTGAAGATTGTTCGAGTTCTATACTCCCTGAAGCAATAGGGAGCGAACCCGTTGGCAGAAGATTGTTCGAGTTCTATACTCCCTGAAGTAATAGGGAGTGAACCCATTTTTCAGAAGATTGTTCGAGTTCTATACTCCCTGAAGCAATAGGGAGCAGACCCGTTTGCTAAAGATTGTTTGAGTCTTATACTTCATGAACGAATAGGGAGCAGACCGGTTTGTTGAAGATTGTTTGAGTCTTATACTCCCTGAAGGAATAGGGAGCAGACCCGTCATTTGAAGATTTTTTAAGTCTCATGTATCCCGAAGTAACAGTGGAGTGGTTTAACCTTTTGAAGTTCTCATGACTGGACAAATTTGATCATCTTTTGATCTTTGCTCTATTATCGTTACAATACAATGAGCAAAGAGGGACAGTTGTAGATACTCAATTTGTCCGAGGCTAAGTCGGAGTAGACCCCGAAGTAATAGTGGGCCTAAAGAAGAACCCAAACCAGCTTGAGGCCCAATTCAACTCCAATGATCCTCAGCAGAATGAACTCTAGTCCACGTGAAACCTGGAAAGTAAAATGGTTATAAGGAGTCAATAAACGTGAGAAGGGAGTTAACAAAAATAGGGAGCCATTATTGGTAGTGGAGAGGAGCACGATATTGGGGCAATTAAAAAAAACTGTAAATAGTCAGTTTTTGAATGGAAATTAACCACTAGAAACGATGGAATATATCAGTTGACACGGCCAAAAAAAAGGGGGAATCATTCGAGAGATTATCAGTGATCACAGAAAAAAGAACGAGAAAGGATTACACAGAGAGAGATATCAACAATTAACCACTAGAAACGAGGGAATATATCAGTTGACACGACCAAAAAAAGAGGGAATCATCCAAGAGATTATCAGTGATCACAGAAAAAAGAACGAGAAAAGATTACACAGAGAGAGATATTAGCAATTAACCGAGAGCAAAAGCGAAAAACATCGATTATTGTTTCCCTTTACAGAAAATAGAAAAACAGAAAAAAAAAAACATTGTACTGGATTTTCCTCCTATTTTTTTGGAGATCAAAGGAAACAGAAGAATTTCCCCTTTTCAGGAACAACGCAATACAAAGAGAAGCTCACTTCATACAAGGTTTTTCTTCATTATACCTTACATTAGTCTTTTCCTTTTTTTGTTTTAATAATTTTCAAAATAAATGCTAATCATAAAATATGAAAATAGAAGTAAGTACCTTTGGGTATAGCTTTGCTATGGAAGTAAGCCAATCGTAAATTTTAGAGTCCTTTGTCGAGGCATTAACGTCACCGGAGTTAGGTAAAATCACTGCGTGTTGTTAGAGCCCTTGCATGTCAATTTTTCAGTTTGAGTTATCATCCATCGGGGTTCAAAAATATATATATAGAAATAAATAAGGTTTAAAATTTACCTTAGTATTTCGAGTACCATACCATTGTCGAAGAGTCGGGTAGCGTTGAGTGATGGTCGTGAGGTTAGAGAAGAAGAGTGAGAAAGGAAAAGGGGAGGGGTTGAGAAAGTGAAGAACGGCGGGGATGATGGTTAAATAATACTTAGGCCTTTAGTTTTAGTCTAGGTTATAACTGAAGCATAAAAATACAGTGTTTAAACTTAGGGAATGAGTGCCTGGCCAAGGAGGGGCTAATCATGCGTGTAATCCTCTAATATTCAAAGTATTGCATTTTGGGCTTCAAACTGTTGTCTTTTGGGTTTCTGTTTATATCTTCTAAGTTTACGCTTTTCTTTTTAGTCCTAGGCTAGGCTGTTTTTGATTCCATGTTGTTTTTACATTTGAACTGTAATTTTGTGGATTCTTGTTTTAGTCCTGGAGCAAGTTATCTTGGTTTTGTAGGAACTTTCGAATTTAACTTGTAATTTTATTTCTTCTGTATTTTAGTCCCTTAAGCATATCTATGTTCCTGCTTTGCAATTTCATTTCCTATTGCTGATTTTTTTTATGTTCGTTTTGGCCCTTGGATGTTCATAGTTTTTTTAGTTGTAATGCCTAAATAAAATATGTTATTTAATTCAATCCTACGTGCAAGCATGTTTTACCATATG